TCCTCACAGGACCTGGCTTGCAGTGACAAGAGCAGAATGAAATAGCCCTCAGGCTTGGACTCTGCAACTTTGATAGAAATTGCACCATTTATTGACAAAAGGGAAAAGAGGAGCCAAATTAATCCCCAGGAAATAAGTTCCATGGCTGAGATACACTGAGCTCATTAATTTGTTGTTTCTCTCTGAGCTCAGGTGTTCCCAGTTGCTCTAGGGATCCTGTCCCATCGATCACAGATCTCAGTATAAAACTTCCCAATTGCACCAAAGTCTCACTTTTGGTCAATGGAAAAATGCTGCCACGTCTCTCTCTCCTGTCTGCAGGTACGTGCTGTTGTCCCGTGTCAGAGTCACACACCCTCACAGACACCGTGGTGATTGGCAGGTGCTGACCTGAAGTTCTCCAGCACTACGAACCTCATTCCCAGCTCCTACCCACTGAGCTAAAAGAATGAGAAATTTGGTTGGCCGAAATAGTTGTGTAGTCACAGAGGTTGGTGCGTTCATTTAAGTCTCAGACGAATGAGTAATGCTATTATCAGATGCCAAAAAGCTAAATTAGCACAGCACAACAGCTTTACTCAAACCGAGATGCTGAGCCACAAAGCTCCCCTTGCCCTAAGATAGTAGAGAGATTGACACTTGTTTACTCTCAGCCCTTCTTGAGTTAAGAATTAATCTCATCACACTAAAATGGTTTCACTCTGACTCTCTTACAGGAGAGACACACGTCGCTGTTCGCTGCTCAGAAAAAAAAACAGGAGCATTTGTGTGTGGCATGATTAACCTGTGTCCTTGTATGTGTATAGTGTGTGAAATTGATCAGAGAAGTGGAATGACCAGCTGTGATCATCTGGTTTTGTTGAGTAAGCCTTTCCCTGAACTGGTACTGGTACCTTAAGAAACTGACCTCTATTTTTCTTTACTTATGTCATTACAGCAAAGGGACAAGTTCCCCAAGACATCCACCTGCCCACATTCCTGTAGCTGCCTGATCTTGGCTCAGAGAAGATGGAAGAGAGAAATCACTCGGAAGCAACTGAGTTCATTTTTTTAGGACTGACAGATAATCCAGAGCTGATGGTCCCTCTGTTTTGGGTATTTCTCCTGATTTATATCATCACTCTGGTGGGAAACGGAGGGATGATCTTGTTAACTACAATAGACTCAAAGCTCCACACCCCCATGTACTTTTTCCTCAGGAGTTTGTCTTTCTGTGATCTCTGCTATTCCTCGACAATCGCCCCCAAGATGCTGCAGAATTTCTTAGCCGAGAGGAAAAGCATTTCTCGTGCTTCCTGTGCTGTGCAAATGTATTTCTCTATCTCCCTTGCAGATATTGAGTGTCTCTTGCTGGCTGTGATGGCGTATGACCGTTATGTGGCCATCTGTAACCCGCTGCTTTATAGGGCCACTATGTCCCGGCAGCTTTGTAACCTGCTGGTGGCTGGGGTGTATGCCCTGGGGTTTGTGGATTCAATGATACACACATGCCTGACATTTCGGCTATCCTTCTGCCGCTCCAACATCATTAACCATTTCTTCTGTGATGTCCCTCCGCTGCTCATACTCTCTAGTTCTGACACCCGTGTCAATGAGGTTTTGATAATTGCCTTCAGTGGCTGCATTTTAATAAGCAGCATTGTGACCGTCCTCCTCTCCTACGTCTATATCATCTCCACCATCTTGCAGATCCGCTCTGCCGCAGGCCGGCACAAAACCTTTTCCACCTGCGCTTTCCACTTGATCGCAGTGCTTATGTTCCATGGCTCCCAACTCTTCATGTATTTAAGGTCCACCTCCAGCTATTCCATGGACAGGGACAAAGTAGTCTCGGTGTTTTACTCGGTGCTGGTGCCCATGTTGAACCCCCTCATCTACAGCCTGAGGAACACGGAGGTGAAAGACTCCCTGAAGAAAGCTGTGAACAAACTCCTAAACAATTCCTGAATCTCTTTAACTGGCTTAGTAGTGGGGAATGGAAACAGGTGTCTTCAATTTCCAGTCCATTGCAATGTCATTTCGTACAGCCTATGGTGTTATTGTTCATTATTATACTGTTGTTGTTATACATAAGTCTGTATTCCAACACGGGCTGCAGGTCCCCACTGAGATCAGGGCTTCCTTTGGCTATTGCCCTTCTGTGTACATAAGAATAAAGTTAATGTACTTTGAAAGCTGGGAGCTGTTTGTATTGGGAAGGAAGGGGGGCTTCAAATCTCTCTCTTTCTTCTCTCTGCCGGTGTTGATTTCAATGTGCGCTTCCAAGATGATGCGTGATTTCTGTGGGTGACCCAAAGGGAGAGTGTCCACCTTCCTGCTACTCCGCTGGCCTTTCTGTGCTCTGTGGGATTCTCGTTCCTATTGTCACCTGATTTGTGTCCATGCATGAGCAGGAGAAACGTGATTTCCAACACACTTGTTGTTATTTGCTTTGTTGTGACCTTCCCTTAAAGTATAGGAAACAACAAAGCAAATAACAAGAGTAACATTTACAAGAGAGCATGGTGTGTGTGCCTCCTTTGCGACAGTCTGCACTGAACAGAACACAGAATAGCACAAAAAGTGAGAATTTTCTCTACCATGTGCATTAAAGAGAATGAACAATTAGTATCAGACACGCAATATTTTTACCCCATCAGCAGGTTTGCAGTGAGTTCTTCCTCTTGAAGCTGTTGCCAAGTATTATAGACGCTGAAGAACAGGGTTTGCGGGATTGGTAGGACTGCGGGGACTGGGCGTGAGAAGTGGGAAGAGCTAGGCCAGTAACTGATTTGGGAGTTCACAGGCGGTTACAAAAAAATAAACAAAAATATTCCAAGCAACCTGACCCACACCTGAATGTTTCCTACATATTTGGCCAATTGCATCCCTGGAAAACCTTTAGCAAAGAGGTTCGGGTGGGGAAGAAAGCAACGGTGCTTCTGCCCTTCTGGAGTTTCGGTCAATAGTTGTGTGGGGTGTGCCAGTAACTTCTTTTTGAGTTCACAGATATTTGCAAAAAAATTCCCTAAAAGTTTGGCCAACTGAATTCTTATAAAACATTTACAAACGTGGTTTGGGTGGGAGAGGAGGCGACAATGCTGCTTCCCTTGCAAAGTTTCACTCAATGGTTAGATCACTCATGTGGGATGTGGGAGACACGGGTCAGTTCTCCTTCTGTCTGATGGGGAGAAGCAATTGGGCAGTGGGTCTCCCACGTTGTCAGACAACGCCCTGGTGACAGGGCTCTGTTCTGTCCTGAATCTTTCTCTGGGCTGGTCTACGATTGTCCCACAATACTTCAAGTCATCCTAATTCAGTCTGTCAAAGAGGTGTTCACACTGAGCTAGGGCAATGGGAGAGTTACATCACTGAAGTATAGAGCCTTTAAATTTCAAGGTCGTTCCTATAGCTTGGCACCAATGGTTCACACTGAGCTAGGGCAATGGGAGAGTTACATCACTGAGGTATAGAGCCTTTAAATTTTAAGGTCCTTCCTATAGCTTGGCACCAATCCCTCCCCACTCCTAGACGAGGTGATGTTAGTGTCTCTAGGTAACATTGCAGAACTGATAAGATGCTCCAGTATTTGCTGATGCTCGCTGGAAAGGCAAATAGATTCTTCACTCCTGAGCTCCCCTGTCATTGTCTTTGCTATCAATACAAACTGTTTTTAAAAGGATCCTTTGTGTTTGCAACTTTATTTTTACTTTCCACATCCAGTGATGCTACTCCTTTAAGAATGGAGGAAAGGGAATGGAGCACTGGCGTGGGAAAGGATTCTGGCCAAAAAGGAGCCAGCCAGTAAAACTTCCAAAGGGGGTAGTGAGAAAAATGTTTGCTTGGAAATCATTGTGCTTGTGATGTTAAATATGAGTTGCATTTGGCCTTTTATTTATTGGTAATACATTCACTTCTGACTTTTATGCCTCATGACTTGCAATCCCTAAAAATCTCCCTTTTTTCCTGCCGTCAATCAGTGTGGTCTGATTTTTGTATCTAAACCAGCGTGGTTCTGGATTGGAATATTTGGGACCTTCTTTTTCTGAGTGCAGAGCTTGTTGGCTGTTTCTACTGGTGCTCAGGGAAGCGGGACTTTGCATACGTTCCTTGCAACGCCTCCTCCATGAATTGTACAAAAGAATAAAGCTGACTTGGACTGTCATTTCCCTCCCGTCGGCAATCAACTCTGCAATTCTTCACTAGTTGGCACCACGTAGAACAGGGCAGGTCCAACATGCAGAACTAATGCCAGTGAATCCTGCAATAATTTTGCTACACCAGTGAGAAGGGTGGAGTCACAAATAGGCCTGCCATGATTCTCCTTGGAAATAGATGACGGTCATAATTTCCTTGTGCCTATGCAATGTGCTTGTGCGTGTGCAGCTGTGGAGAGAGGCTGTTCTCGGTGGTGGCAGATGGCAGAACAAGGAGCAATGGTCTCCAGTTGCAGTGGGGGAGGTCTATGTTGGAAATTAGGAAAAACTATTTCCCTAGGAAGGAGGGAAAACACTGGGATGGGTTCCCCAGAGAGATGGAGGAATCTCCATCACTAGAGGTGTTTCGGTCCCGGCTTGAGAAAGCCCTGGCTGGGTCGATTGAATTGGGATTGGCCCTGCTTTGGGCAGGGGGCTGGACTCAATGAGTCTTGATGTCTCTGCCAGTCCTAGGGTTCTATAATTTTTCAGCTCAGTGCATTGGCCTATTCCTGGGAGGGGATCTCATCCTTTCCTTTGAATCAAGCACTGCAATCAGTCAGCATCACGCATCTGGTTCTCAATGGGATATTTTCTAGCTGGGTGGCTATGAAGTTATCCAGGTACAACAGTGGATAACAGTGGATAACTGTTAAGGAACACTGTTAAGGAACTGTTAAGGAACAGTGGATAACTGTTAAGGAACAGTTGGGTTGCCCCTACCGCCAACCTTCACGCCAGGCAATGCCTAGATGGACCACTAACAACCAACCTTCTAGCGTGCCAGTCACACCCTAAATATCTGTGATAGAGATGCAGATGTGTTAGTCTGGTGTAGCTGAAACAAAAAACAGGACTATGTAGCACTTCAAAGACTAACAAGATGGTTTATTAGGTGATGAGCTTTCGTGGGCCAGACCACTGTTAGTCTTTGAAGTGCTACATAGTCCTGTTTTTTGTTTCACATTTAAGCATGAATGACAATTCTGAAACTCCTTGTTGAAGTCTGGAGTTAAAGACTCTTTGATGTAATATGCATGTTTTAATCATTGAGGGAATGGTCAGTGGGCGCCCATGTTTATGCTAATGAGGTGCTAGATATTTAAATCTCAGCTTCATTATCAATTTCGACTTGCTTGATTTGCATCCCTCTGTTGACAGAGAGATGCAGTCTACACGTAACCTCAGGCACTTCAATTTAAATTCACAGGTGAGACAAAGCCCATAACACAAGTGTATTGCCAACAGACATAGATTGTGCATGAGGACAAATAATGAGAAATAGAAACCAGGCACGGTCACAAGATGCTAAAATGCAGCTTGTGCCAAACTTGACAAAAAGTGGAAATTCAAGAGGAGAGACCATCACTGGGGGTGAAATCCAGCCTGGGAGCCTGGACCATGGAAAAGAATAGTGGGATGAGGGACTCCTGTGGTATTTCAGAGCAGCAACATTTGATTTGTAGACAGACATTAAAGTCTCCACACACACAGGAAAAAAACCACACAACCCAAATCAAGACTTAGTTGTCCATCTCTGTTCAGTATGAGCCTGAACTGAAAACAGCAGGACAAAACATGCCCCTAACTTCAAACTCTTTAACTCTGGTAAAAGTTGCATCATTTTGTAACACAGTAGGAAGGAGTGGGGCAAATTATTCCCCAGGTTACGAATTACACAGAGGGTGGGGTTGATTCACCGAGCACATTTATTAGTTGTGACTCTCTGAGCTGAGGTATTCCCAGTTGCTTCAGGGAGCGTATCCCGTAGAGCACAGCTATTGGTATAAAACATCCCACTTGCTCCACACTGGCAGTTTCTGCCTATGGGAAAACACCACGTCTCTCTCTGCAGTCAGCAGGTATGTGCTATTGTCCAGCATCCCAGTCACATGCACGTACAAACACCGTGGTCTTTGGTAGCTATCAAATTGAAGACTTTCGGCATTAAAATCATCAGGTTAGCTCCTACGCCTGGTGTTAACAGAACTACCTCTTTGGTTGGAAAAAAATAGACAGTTTTACTGTCAAGGAAGCCATTACCCTATATGATACGTCTGGGTTTTCATACAGATTAGAGCAAACACCATCTTCAGCTTTCATAAAGCTTAATTAGCACAGTGAGTGAGCTTTACCCCAAACCGCGATGTGGAGCCATAGAGCTCAGCCTGTCCCAAGTGGGTAGAAAGACTAATGCTTGTTTACTGAACAGAAGTGTTGGTGTGTGTCTGTGTAGAGGAGCAGGAGTCACCTGGGAGTCATTGTATTTGTACAGTGTGCGCATTTTAACGAAACACTGGAATGACAGTTCTGTGGACTACACCCTTCTCTGAGCGGGTACTGGTGTCCATTAGGAAACTGATCTCCATTTTTCTTCACTCACTTCATTACAGCAAAGGGTTAGTTTTCCCCACACCATCCACCTGCACATATTCCTGTGGCTGCCTGATCTTGGCTCAGAGGAGATGGAAGAGGGAAATCACTCCGTGGTGACTGAGTTCATTCTTGCAGGACTGACAGATCATTCGGAGTTGCAGGTCCCTCTTTTTGTGCTGTTTCTTCTGATCTATGCTATCACCCTGGTGGGGAACGGGGGGATGATCTTGTTAATCACGACTGACCCCCGACTCCACACCCCCATGTACTTTTTCCTCCGGAGTTTGTCTTTTTGTGATTTCTGCTGTTCCACAGTAATTACCCCTAAAATGCTGCAGAATTTCTTACTGGAGAGGAAAAGCATTTCTCGCGCTGCCTGTTCCGTGCAAATGTATTTATTCATCGCTTTTGCAGATATTGAGTGTCTTTTGCTAGGTGTGATGGCGTATGACCGTTATATGGCCATCTGTAACCCGCTGCTCTATACAGTCACCATGTCCAGGCAGCGGTGTACCCAGCTGATGGTGGCTGTTTGTGCTGTAGGGTCGGTAGATTCTATGATACACATGTGTCTGACATTTCGGCTGTCCTTCTCTACCTCCAACGTTATCGGTCATTTCTTCTGTGATATCCCTCCGCTGCTGGCACTCTCCAGTTCTGACACCCACCTCAATGAGATTGTGCTCGTTGCTGGTACATGTTCTATTGTAGCGAGCAGCTTTGTGATCATCCTCCTCTCCTATGTCTACATCGTCTCCACCATCCTGCAGATCCACTCCACCAAGGGCCGGCACAAAGCCTTCTCCACCTGCACTTATCACTTGATCACTGTGGTTATGTTTCATGGCACCCAACTCTTGGTGTATTTACGGCCCTCCTCCACCTATTCCACAGATATGGACAAGGTAGTCGCAGTGTTTTACGCCCTGGTGATCCCCATGTTGAACCCCTTCATCTACAGCCTGAGGAACACAGAGGTGAAGAACGCCCTGAGGAAAACAATGAATAAACTTCTAACCGATGCGTGAATCTGTCCAGACTTACTGACGGGGCTTGGACACATTGGAATTCAATTCCCAGCCCATCATAATTTGATTTCCACAGCCTGTTCTAGTATTGTTCTTTATTATAATGCCTTATTCATTTTTTTTGTATTCCAACAAGGCCTGCAGTCCTCAATTGAGGTCTGGACTTCCTTCATGAGGCTGTTTCTGCTTCAAAATTCAAGGTGGCTCCTGTTTCGTGTGTGTGAGCTCAGTAATAGTTATCATGTTATTTGAGAGCACGGAGCTGTTTGTGTTGGGATCAAAGAGCGGGGCATTTAGCTCTCTCTTTTTTGTAGCGGGGTAGGTTTCGTTCTGCATTTGGGAGTCTGAAGTGCCTGATGTCTATGGCTCAATGAAAGCAAGTTTTGCACTCTACTGGTACCCTACAGCCCTTTTGGGGGGGTTCTTGAAGAGTTTGTCCCCTGGTTTGTGTCCATGAATCAGAAAGAAAAAAGTGATTTCCCTCAAAATGGCTTTCATTGTAAGTGAAGGACTAGCACAACACAGTTCTGTGAGTGTGCATCTTCTGTGACAGTCTACGCTGAATTGAATAGGTGCTAGTATGGAAAGGGCGAGCTTTTTCTTCCATATAAATTAAACAGAAAGAAAAGTCTTCTCTGGCAGCACATATTTATATCACATCAGCAGGTTTGCTATGCATTCTTGCTCTTTGTTGGGTTGGAAAGTACCATAGACTCTGAAGAATGGGATTTCTGGGAATATTATGGCTCATGGGACAGCGAGGGAGAAGTTGTGGCAGTGGGGACGATCACAGATTTAAGAGGTGGCTGCACATAATTGTAAAAGCAATTCAGTGCGACCCACTGTCAGGGCCCAAAACTGATTTTTTTAGTTACCTGGTTACAAAGCATTGAAAAAAACCACAATTTCAGAGCAATCTGATCCAAAATTTCAGAGCAATCTGATCTGAAAATTCCCTAACTGTTTGGCCAGATGAAAACCTGGACCGAAATTTCATCTGGGTTGGAAGGAAACATTTAACAGGACCAGAAATGGGTCATTTCCTTTCCTTCACTGAAAGAAAAAAGCAAAGACAAGGAAGGGCAAGACTTCCAGAATAGATGGGTGTGGAAGAGGCGACGATGCTGCTACTTCCCTTGGAGACTTTAACCCAGTGATCAGAACACTCACATGAGCTGTGGGTGACACAGGTCAATCCCTTTCTGGCTGGTGTGTTGAAGCAATTTGAAAGTGGGTCCCATACTGCTGGGGAACACCCTGGAGACAGGGCTACGTTCTTTCCTGGATCTTTTGCAGGGCCAGTCTACGCTCAACCTGTCAATCAATCTAAGATTATGTCTACACAGCAGCATTATTTTGGAATAACTGATGCTGTCCGAAATAAGATCATCCGTGTCTACACACAAGCTGTTATTTGACAGAATGTCGAAATATTATTGAGCTGCTTACTCCGACTCCTGTAACCCTTATTGTAGGAGGAGTAAGGGAAGTCGGGAGAAAAGCATTCTATCTCGAAAGAAGTGTTGTGTAGACAGAGCCAAAAGTCAAAGTCAGCTATTTTGACTTAAGTTATGCAGTTAGTCAAGCTCCAGTTGCGTAGCTTATTTCAAGTTTACCCTGTTGCGTAGACGCGCCCTAACTTATTCTTTTGCAAGTTGATGTCATGTTAGTCCAACTTACTGTGATGTTCCCACCAGGATGTGTCAATGGGAGAGTGATGGAACTGAAGGGTGAGGTCTTTGAATGTCAAGGCTCTTGCTACATCTTGGCACTAAATGGCTATAGGAGTGGACTGTCACAACTGCCAGAGTGGTTGATCTTAGCTTCTATAGCCAGTAATAAAGAATTGATTATATGCTCCAATATTTGCTGATTCTTATAATAAAGGCAGATAGATACTTCTGTCCTGAACGCCCATATAATTCCACTCATTATTAATACAATATTTTAAAATAATGGTCATTTTCATTAGCAACAATGATTTTAATGTACATGTTCACTGGTGAAAAATTAAAGATATTTCTTTCAATGTATATGAATTATTTGGCATAAGAAAACCTGGCACCCTGTACAGTGTGCAATTGCCTTTTCTCATTCCAACGATCCAGAGGCAACGTTTTCAAAAGCATTTACCAAATCATGGTGCCTATGGACAAGTGTGAAAAGTTGGGTATTGCATTCTGCCCCCCTTGGCCCATCTCAAAATGGGACTAACCAGAGTTGCCTGCCTTATTACAGAGTTTAGAAAGGCTTCTACTTCTTTCTATGTCTCTCATCAAGTCCCTCACGGTCTTGATTGTAGTTATCATCACAACGTCCATGTTAGGGAGTGCACTGTTATCTCCTTCTAACATACGATGAGTTGAAGCACAGAGAAAGTAAATGTCTTCTTCAAGATTGCAGAAGAGGTCTACAGTGGAGCCAGAAACTAAGCCTCAGTTTACAGACTGCTAGACTAACACTCTACTTAACAGATAATCATTCCTTCTCATGGAGACAGAGGAACAGAGGTGTATAGCCTATAAGTAGAGGAGTGGTAACCCAACCCCTCAATTTGTATAGCAATGCAACCTTCTTCAGATTCACCATGTATGTCTCACATATGTTATGGGGCTATCTCTTGTAGTCTCCAATACTGACTTTTTTATATATTCAAGAGAATTTGGTGGATTCCATCAGATTGCCCTATATTTTACTGGTGAACCAAGTTGAGACATGTCTTCCTGATACAGTCTCAGATGTCAGGCTGTTGCAACAGACTCATTTACCTTCAGTCCTGTTGATACTTCTCATATTAAAGACAGCAGAGGCAAACAGGATAGAAAATAAATTATTTACAAATTATGACAATAATTATGACAAATTAAAGTATTTACAAATTATGACACTCCTTTTGCATAACGATGATAAATTTTGTACAAATCATGCCTTGTGAGGTATCATTCAAAAGCTCATAATCCGCTGATCATCATTGTCCTCTTAACATTTGTGACAACACTGATTGTGAAGTTATAAGATTCAACTCATCATATGTGAAGGGAAAAAAATGAAGTCACACCAAGTCATGGGCAAATGTGTCAATTTCAGGACATTTCAGCTTTTAATTGAAATGACATCAAGCCTTTCCAGGGAAGGGAGGAATTATCCTAAGAGGAGAAATTATAACATTTCTGAATGTATTCACCAATAAAAAAGGAAAGACCTTTAGCAAGAGGGAGAAGTGTGACAGGAAAGGGGGAGAGAAGTAGCTGTAAGAGGCAGGGGGAAAGCTCCTCCATCAATGCAGGGAATGTCTATACTAAAGTCACCAAAATGACTCGGGAATGGAATTGAAATAGCACCGTAATGTATAGATGCTACCCACATTGTTGCAAGGGGATTCTCCATCAATTTGAAAGGCAGGAGCTATGTTAATGGAAGAATTACACTGAGGGTGAGCGCAACTTGACTGCCACTGACAGAGTGTGAAAAGTTTCTCAGCCTTATGTAACAGAGCTCGGTTGATCAAATGTTTAAGCAAAAACCACCAGGCCTCAGGGAAGGTACCGATGGAAAAAAACAGTTGGGAAATCTAGTCCTGTCTCCTTCCCAGGGCAGCAGAATCCCCTTCCATTCTTTTCCTTCAGACCAGTTGGAAATAGCCCAGCTGTTCCAGCTTCCCAGTGTCAGGCTGTGCGTGTGCCGTGCGCACTGTGTGTGTGTGGTGTGGGGGAAGCTGAATGTTGAGCCTACACATGTGTGTGTCCCTTGCCCTGACCATTGCCCCGGCCAGCATCCTTTACCCCACCCAACCATCGATCCAGGGCTTCTTGCTGTAAAGGAGGCCACCCAACATAGAACAGCAAGCAGCTCATGCAAGGGTGTGATCTGGGCCAAGCTGTGGGCCCTGAGGAATGGAACATACCATTGACACACCTGAGGTTTCAGATAGAGGAACCAGGTCCCTTAACCAGAAGGCTCCTTGTCCACAAGAAGACCACCTGGTGCCTAGTGTTTAGTGAAAGAGGGTATGGCCGTGAGCTCTCTGATGCCTTGGTTGGGGCAGGTCAGATGTTCTCAGCCTTTTTTCTTTCTGAGGATCTCAACATGACCCACTGCCCAACTGTGCCACACCAACTGTCTCTCTGCGTGTTAAAGCCAGGGCCAGTGTGAGGGGGTAGCACGCAGAGGCATATCGACCTAAGCTGCTCAGGTTTCAGCGCTGGGTGGGCGTCTTCGGGGCTCTGGACTTCAGCTCCATGTGATGGGGCATTAGCTTTCTGCCCTGTGCTTGGCCAAACCCCTGATCCCTGCCCCCGGGCGCCCTGGTGGAGAACCCTGGTACTATTGGTGGGATGGCCACGCACTGATAAGCTCTGCATGAGGGGCAGAATAAGGGTGTGTCAATCAGATCATGTGGCCCTGACAGAGCCGGCCTCACAAAATGCACAATCCCATTTGTGCTCCTTTGATCCTGATGGTTCTTTTCCCTCTGCACACACTCGGGCTACGTCTACACTGGCCCCTTTTCCGGAAGGGGCATGTAAATTTCACTAGTCATCGTAGGGAAATCCGCGGGGGATTTAAATATCCCCCGCGGCATTTAAATAAAAATGTCCGCCGCTTTTTTCCGGCTTTTAAAAAAGCCGGAAAAGAGCGTCTAGACTGGCCCCGATCCTCCGGAAAAAGTGCCCTTTTCCGGAGGCTCTTATTCTTACTTCAAGTAAGAATAAGAGCCTCCGGAAAAGGGCACTTTTTCCGGAGGATCGGGGCCAGTCTAGACGCTCTTTTCCGGCTTTTTTAAAAGCCGGAAAAAAGCGGCGGGCATTTTTATTTAAATGCCGCGGGGGATATTTAAATCCCCCGCGGATTTCCCTACGACGACTAGTGAAATTTACATGCCCCTTCCGGAAAAGGGGCCAGTGTAGACGTAGCCCGTGTGTCTCTGGAACCACATCCCTCCCTTAGACCACAGTGTCTGCTTTAGTGCCCACCCTTTTGTTCTCCCCTTTCTCTGGGTTCCAGCAGTCCTTACTGCATCTGCATTAGGGACCAACAGCCTCCCACAGGTAGCCCCTCGCCTCAGGGCAGGCCACAGCCTGTATTGGCCATGCTCCCTGGTGGCAAAACTCATTGAAAAGAGAAAGGGAAGGACCCAGGCCCACCTTCTAATCTGGATCCTGACTCAAGGGCCCTCTAGTGAAAGCATTCCTTATCCTTCATGTTCCTTGATTACCAATGTTCCTTGGGCCGCTTCCTCCTTTGCCCCTTTCCGACCCCGTATCAAGGCCTCATCCTGGCAGGTACCAGGCTCGTGTTTTCTCTCTCTTCTCCCTGAGCACTGCTCAGTGCAGGCTACTTCTCCTGTGCTGCTCAGGGCCCACCTGACAGGACCCAGCCCGGCCCTCATTGACGAGCTTCTCCCTTCGCCCTGACTCCCAAGCAAGGGGAGGACATAGACTACCAAGGGGCCTGGCATTAGAGAGAAAGTGTCCAGAATACACCCACATGGGCTACGGGTTTTGCATTCTATCCATTGGAGTCATAGAACCATAGAACACTAGACCTGTAAGGGACCTCGAGAGGTCATCAAGTCTAGTCCCCTGCCCTCAAGGAAGGACCAAGCACCATCTAGACCATCCCTGACAAGTGTCTGTCCAACCTACTCTTACATATCTCCAGGGATGGAGATTCCACAACCTCCCTAGGCAATTTATTCCAGTGTTTAACCACCCTGACAGGTAGGAAGTTTTTCCTAATGTCCAACCTAAACCTCCCTTGCTGCAGTTTAAGCCCATTGCTTCTTGTCCTGTCCTTAGAGGCCAAGGAGAACAATTTTTCTCCCTTCTCTTTGGAACACTCTTTTAAATAATTGAAAACGGCTACTCCTCCCTCAATCTTCTCTTTTCTAAACTAAACAAACCCAATTCTTTCAGCCTTCTTTCATAAGTCATGTTCTCTAGACCTTTAATCATTCTTGTTGCTCTTCTCTGGACCCTCTCCAATTTCTCCACATCTTTCTTGAAATGTGGTGCCCAGAACTGGACACAATATTCCAACTGAAGCCTAATCAGCTCAGAGTAGAGCAGAAGAATGACTTCTTGGGTCTTGCTCACAACACTCCTATTAATGCAACCCAGAATCGTGTTTGCCTGTTTTGCAACAGTCTCACACTGTTGACTCCTATTTAGCTTGTGGTCCATTATGATCCCTAGATCCCTTTCTGTAGTACTCCTTCCTAGACAGTCGCTTCCCATTCTGTGTGTGTGAAGCTGATTGTTCCTTCCTAAGTGGAGCACTTTGCATTTGTCCTTATTAAACTTCATCCTGTTTACCTCAGACCATTTCTCCAGTTTGTCCAGATCCGTTTGAATTTTGACCCTACCCTTGAGAGCACTTACAACCCCTCCCAGCTTGGTATCATCTGCAAATTTAATAAGTGTCATCTCTATGCCAATATCTGAATTGTTGATGAAGATCTTGAACAGAACCCATCCCAAAACAGATCCTAGTGGATCCACATTTGTTATCTCCTTTCAGCATGACTGTGATCCCTTAACTATTCAGCAGAACAGGGTGATTCTGAACATAGGAATAATGGAGAAGATCTCAGCTAAAGCTGCAAGCAGTTAGTCTGTTATGGTTCCATCTCAATTCCTCCTCCTTTAACTCTAAATTTGTTGCTAAGGCTGGATAAAATTTTTGTCTTTAAATATTTTTATGGATGGGAAGTTGGATTTTCATTTCAACTGATTTATTGCCATGGAACTCTCTGTTGTATGAAAATTAGCAACTTTCCATCAAAATAGCAAACTCCCCTCCTTCCCCAAACTGTGGGTCTTTGGTGATCTTCCAAGGCAGGTCATCAGGAGGACCAACTAGCTCATGCTAGAGCGGGTAAGCATCAGCCTGGGAGCCATGGAAAAGAAGGATGGGATGGAGTATCTGAGGGACCCTGCAGTAGTCAAGATTTTGGTTTCCATAAACAATAGACCAAGCCTATCCTTTGTGAATCAGCTCTGCTCAGTACCAGCTTGAACAGAAAAAAGCAGGATGAGCTATACCCCTAACTTCATATTCTGTAACTCTGATAGAAATTGCATCGTTCAATAACACGGGAGGAAAGAGGGGGACAATTAATCCCCAGTGTACAAATTACAGAGAGAGTGGCTTTGTTCCACTGAGCGCAGTAATTAGGTGTCATGTCTCTTGGAGCTCAGGTATTCCCAGTTGTATCAGGGACCTTGCCCCATAGATCACAGATCTCAGTATAAAACTTCCTGAACACTTAAAACTGTCAGTTTCCATTGAAGTAAAAAACGTACCAGGTCGGTCTCTCCTCAGCAGGTACGTACTCTTGCCTATTTCATAGTCACACACATAGAGACACCATGATCAGTGGGTATTGAATTCAATATGCCATCACTAAAAGCCTTAGACTGGCTCGTACCCTTCAAGATAACAGAATGATCTTTTGGTTGGGAAAAAATAGGCAATTACATAGACAGTGTCACTCACTATGTCTCTGGGTTTCCATAGAGACCAGCATAAATGCCATTTTCAGATGCCCTGCAAGCAAGTTTTAGCCCCAATTGACATGCTGAGTCCCGGAGCTCCCTTTGCCCAAAGTGGGGAGAAAGATGGATCCTCATTGACTCTCACCCCTTCCTGAGCTAAAAAACAATCTCTCTGTCAGAGGCAGTTTTCACCCTGATTCTCCCCCAGCAGAGAAATGAGGTGCTCTTTGCTGCTTGGAATAGTGCACAGGAGTGTGTGGGGTTGTTTTCACATTGGTACATTGTATTAGTGGGCATTGTACGGTACAACTGGCATGACCAGCTGTGAACATCTAGCTCTGAGGACGATGCTCTTCCTCAATCTTATACTGATACCCACTGAAAAACTGATCTTCATTTTTTTGTTCACTTTCTTACAGCGTAGGGACAGGTTCCCTGAGCCATGCACCTGCCCACGTCCCTGTAGCTGCCTGATCTCGGCTCAGAGGAGATGGAAGAGGGAAATTGCTCAGAGGCGACTGAATTCATTTTCTCAGGACTAACAGATCGTCCAGAGCTGCAGGTCCCCCTGTTTGTGTTGTTCCTACTGATTTATATTATCACCCTGGTGGGGAACGGAGTGATGATCTTATTAATCACAATTGACTCCCGACTCCACACCCCCATGTACTTTTTCCTCCGGAATTTGTCTTTCTGTGATCTCTGCTATTCCACAATAATAGCCCCTAAGATGCTGCAGAATTTCTTAGCTGAGAAGAAAAGCATTTCCCACACTGCCTGCGCTGTGCAAATGTATTTCTTTGTCTCTTTTGCAGATCTTGAGTGCCTCTTGCTGGCTGTGATGGCGTATGACCGTTATGTGGCCATCTGTAACCCGCTGCTTTATAAGGTCACCATGTCCAGGCAGCTTTGTAGCCAGCTAGTGGCCGGGGTGTACGCTGTGGGGTTGGTGGATGCATTGATAGAAACATGTTGTACGTTCCGGCTGTCATTCTGCCGCTCCAACGTCATCAATCATTTCTACTGTGACATCCCCCCACTGCTGGCGCTCTCCTCTTCTGACACCCGTATCAGTGAGACTGTGATGCTTGCCTTCGTTGGCTTTATTATAGTAAGCAGCGTTGTGACCATCCTCCTTTCCTATGTCTACATCATCTCCAGCATCCTGCGGATCCGCTCCGCCGAGGGCCGGCGCAAAGCCTTCTCCACCTGCACTTGTCACTTGACGGTGGTGGGCATGTTCCATGGCAGCCAACTCTTCATGTATTTACGCCCTCCCTCCAGCTATTCCATGAACATGGACCAAATAGCCTCCGTGTTCTACACGCTGGTGATCCCCATGTTGAATCCCCTTATCTACAGCTTCAGGAACAAGGAGGTGAAGGGCGCCCTGAGGAAAGCAGTAATTAAACTCCTAAGCAAATCTGGTTAACTCAGTACAGACTTAGTGATGGGGAGTGGAAACATGTGAATTTAATTCCCAGCCTGTTGTAGTTTGATTTCCAGAGACCATGCTAATATTGTTCTGTGTTACATTGCATTCTTGATTTGTTTGTATCCAAACCAGGCCTGTAGTCCTCCATTGAAAAGAGCTTCCTTCATGAGGCTGTTTCTCCTGCAAAATTCAAAGAGGCTCCTGTTTTGTGTGTGTGAGTCCAGTAATATGTGTGACGTGCTGTCACATTACTGGATTTTGAGGGGAGCAGACAGATCACTGCTGCACCCATGGGGGGGTGTTGGCCCCAAAAGTGGCACAAAGGGGGGGCATGCGAGGTGTCAAATAGAAGCTTTCTTTCTTCTGATTCCATATATGCTATTCATGTGATTGTATAATGTCGGTATGTGAAGATATAAGCATGTGTTTTGTGTGGATACCAAATGTTTCTCTATATGTGGTTGAACTATGGGCAAAGTAGCTCAGCCTATGGACATGCTAATGAGCAAAGCTCTGGAACAATAGCCCCCTATAGGCCAAGGACACACCTCAATAGTGGTAACTCATACCTAGAGGCTACCAGCAGGGAACACAGGGATAGGCCATGGGCCAGGTGACCTGCTGTAGCCAAGAAGAGACCAGGGATCTGTGGACCCTGTTAGCTGTGCCACTGTGACAGACCGGGCCAAGTCTGGGCACAGCTCTGGTTCCAGAGCTTTGCTCGTTAGCATGTCCATAGGCTGAGCTACTTTGCCCATAGTTCAACCACATATAGAGAAACATTTGGTATCCACACAAAACACATGCTTATAACTTCACATACCGACATTATACAATCACATGAATAGTATATATGGAATCAGAAGAAAGTAGGCTTCCATTTGACACCTCACATGGCCCCCCTTTGTGCCACTTTTGGGGCTGACATCCCCCCATGGGTGCAGCAGTGATCTGTCTGCTCCCCTCAAAATCCAGTAACATGACACGTGCTTTGATAGCAAGGGATTGTGTTGGGTTTGAAGAGCGGGGCATCTAATTTAGCTCCCTATTCTCTGTAGCGGGGTAGGTTTTGTTCAGTCGTTGCGAGTCTTAAGTGCCTGATGTCTATAGCTCAATGAAAGGGAGTTTTGCACCGTCCTGCTACCTTGCAGCCCTTTGTGTGCTCTGGGGGGTTGTTGTAGAATTTGTCTCCTGGTTTGTGTCCATGAATTGGAAAAAAAAAGTTATTTCCCTCAAAATGGCCTTTATTGTAAGTGAAGGTCCAGCACAACACAATTCTGTGAGTGTGCATCTTTTGTGACAATCTATGCTGAACTGAACAGACACTAATATGGAAAGGGTGAGCTTTTTCTGCCATATAAATTAAACAGACAGCAATGGCTTCTCAGACTCTTCATATTTACATCACATCAGCACGTTCACTGTGAGTTCTTCCTCTTCATTCTGCTGGAAATTATAGACTCTGAGCAATAGGGATTCTGGGAATTGTACGGCTCAAGGGACTGGGCGTGGGAAATGGAGACAGCTTAAAAAAACTGCACTTTGAGTAAACAGGTGGTGATAAAAATGGAAAAAATAAATTCAATTCCTCCCGATCCAAATATGAACATTCCCTACATGTTTGGCAAATTGAAAGCATTGTCCGAAATCTCCTGTGAGGTGGAAGAGAAGCATTCGTGTGCTCAGCAATGCTTCCCTTCCTAGGTTGTTTTCAATGTCAAAGAAAAGCCAGTGAAGGGCTAGACTGAGACAATGGATGGATGTGTAAGAGGTTGGGATGGTGCAGACTTCAATCCAGTGGTCAGAGCACTCAGGTGGGAGGTGGGTGACACAGGTCAGTCCCCCTCTGTCTGGTGTGGTGAAGTCATTTGAAAGTGGGTCTCCCGCACTGATGGACAGTGCTCTGGGGACTGGGCTGTGTCGTGTCATGAATCTCTTGCAGGGCTGGTCCACCCTGATCCTGTGAGGCCACCTACATTATGCTACTTAAGCCAATGTAGCTCTCGTCTGACTCGCAGCTGTGCTCTGACTGTGCTACCTAGATGGGAGAGTCCTCTAAGTGATGCGTGGAGTCTTTGAATGTCAAGGGTCTTTCTATATCTTGGTACTCAAGGGCAAAGGGAGGGGAGTGGCACGACTCCCAGACTTCCTGATTTTAGCTGCTTTGTCTAATATTAAATATGATCACATGCACAGGCCCTTTTACAATCCTCATCCATGCAGTACCTCTGAGCACCTCGCAATCGGGACTGTATTTATTGTCACACCTTCCATATTGGCTAGGCCATCATTAGCTCCATTTCACAGAGGACGAGCTGAAGCACAGAGAAAGTAAATGTCTTGTTTCGAGGATCCATGAGGGGCCTACATTTCAGCCAGGAATTAAGCCCCAGTTAACAAAGACTGCCTGACTCTAAAGCTCTATCCAGTAGATTAACGTTTCCCAACCACGGTTCCGCAGAACGCTGCGGTTCTGCAGACCATTGTCAGGGGTTCCGCGAGAAATCGTGGAATAAATAAATTAAAAAAATGTTTTCTTACAATGTAAGTTAACATATATATATATATAACAGCCCTTTACAAAGAAATTTTCTCGACAATAATTTAGCAGTAATTGAATTGCGCTCCCCGCTGTCAACTTTTTCTGGCCAAGCAAACTTTTTCATAGGTTCCTTGGGATATGAAAAATTATTTTAAGGGTTCCTCCATGGGAAAAAGTTTGGGAATCACTGTAGTAGATAAATGTTCCTTCTCATGATAATGCAGGAACTGATGTATCAAATCTGTAGGTAAAGGAGATATCACTCATCTGAACGAGGTGTACAGATAGATCGGAATGGCTACGTAGTTCGAACTATCTAGCCCGTGCCGCGTGTAGCTGCGCGGCACGGGGTTCACACTAGCCGGCTTTTAAAAATGGCGGAGCCAGCTTTATGCTAATGAAGCCCGGGAAATTCAAATCCCGGGCTTCATTAGCAAGTTCGGTATGCATACATTACCCCGCTAGTTCGAACTAGCGGGGTAGTGTAGCCATACCCTAAGAGTGGTGCACTCGGCAGTTGCAAAGTGGAATTATAGACTAATACACCTGGGGCTGGCTGGACGGAAAAACTAACCCATACGACTCGTCAGAATCATTGGTGAAGAGAGATGGGTGCGTGCTACGTTGTGAACCTTCTGAGCGAGTTGTGATGCGAAAACAGGCTGCTCTTGGACCCCAGTATTGTTCCCTGGGAGGACTAAGTGGGAAGGCTTGTTGGGCGTCCCTGGGGAGCGACACCCGGCTGGGCCATTGGTTGGGACCAGAGTAACACAAGATGCGACCCCAGGGACAGGGTTCACCCCTAATGTGGGGTTCTGAGGGGTGGCAACCTGATAGATGGGATGTTGGATTTTCCATTCCAACTGATTTTTTTTTAATGGAATGATCTGTTCTATGGAAATTAGCAACTTTCCATCAAAATACCCAAGTCCCCTCCTCCGTACAGTGTGACAGTGGGTCTCTGGTGATGTTCAAGGGCCGGTCATCAGGAGGACAGACCATGTCATGTTACAGGGGATGTTCTTCCATCTGGGAGCCATGGAAGTGAAAGGTTGCAAAGGGCTTCTGAAGGAACTGGGGGTATTTCAAGATTTTGGCTTCCACAAACTACAGACCAAAACAATCCTTGTGGATCAGCTCTGCTCAGTACCAGCTTGATGTGACCACAGCAGGACGAGCTATACCACTAACTCCATACACTGCAGCTGTGGTAGACATTGCGTCATTTCATAGCACAGGAGGAAAGAGCAGACAAATTAAACCCCAATGAACAAGTTACAGCAGGGATGTCTTTGCTCCCCCGGATGTGCTAATTAGATGTTGTTTCTCTCTGAACTCAGATATTCCCTCTGGTATCAGGGAGCATGTCCCAAAGATCACAGATCTCAGTATAAAACTTACCAAACACTTAAACCTGGCAGTTTCCATCAAAGGGAAAGTCCAAGCCCATCTCTCTCATCAGCAGGTAAGTGCTATTGTTTAATACCATGGACTCTCTCTCTCTCTCTCTCTCTCTCTCTCTCTCTCTCACACACACACCGGGATAATCAGCAGGTACGTGCTATTAGACTATGTCATGGTCACACACACACACACCATACAGACACTGGGATAATCAGCAGGTATTGGATTCAAGACTCCAGCACTAAAAGCCTAAGTCTGGCTGAGTTAACCTAACAGAATAACCTCTTTGATTGGAAAAAAATAGGCAATTAGATAGTCACTGAAGCTAGACAAATTATGAAATACACTATTTCGAAAATGACATGAAATAAGCTACGCAATTTGCGTAGCTCACATTGAGTAGCTTACTTCGATCTAGCGGTGCACCCTTAGGGTGCATCTGTACTGCACCCGTCGCTCAAAATAAGCTATGCAATTTGAGCTATGGAAATTCCATAGGTTATTTTGAGTCAAATTCGAAATAGCGTTTTTCGTAATTTGGTGCTGTCTGCACCTAAATAGCACTGCAGTCTAGAGATAGCCCCACAGAGCTCCCTTTGCCGAAAGAGGGGAGAAAGATGGATCCTCGTTGACTCTCACCCTTCCTTGAGCTAAGAAACAATCTCTTCTGTTGGAGGCGGTTTTCATCCTGATTCTCTCACAGCAGAGACACGAGGTGCTGTTTGCTACTTGGAATAGTGCACAGAAGTGTTTGTGTGGGGTGTGTTCTCATATTGGTACATTGTATTAGTGGGCATTATACAGGACAACTGGCATGACCAGCTGTGAACATCTAGCTCTGAGGACTTAGGCCTTCCCCAGTCTTGTACTGGGGCCCATTGAAAAACTGATTTTCATTTTTTCTTCACTTACTTCCTTACAGCAAAAGGAAAAGTTCCCCAAGCCATCCACCTGCCCACATCACTGTAGCTGCCTGCTCTCAGCTCAGAGGAGATGGAAGTGGGAAATTACTCAGAGGCAACTGAGTTCATTTTTTCAGGACTGACAGATCGTCCGGAGCTGCAGGTTCCCCTCTTTGGGGTGTTCCTACTGATTTATATTACCAGCCTGGTCTGTAACGGTGGGATGATCTTGTTAATCACGATTGACCCCCGACTCCACACCCCCATGTACTTTTTCCTCCGGAATTTGTCTTTCAGTGATCTCTGCTTTTCCTCAGTAATTGTCCCTGAGATGCTGCAGAATTTCTTAGCCAAGAGGAAAAGCATTTCTCGCACTGCCTGCGCTGTGCAAATGTATTTCTTTATCTGTTTTTCAGATATGGGGAGTCTCTTGCTGGTTGTGATGGCCTATGACCGTTATGTGGCCATCTGTAACCCGCTGCACTATACGGTTACCATGTCCAGGCAGCTTTGTAGCCTCATGGTGGCTGGTATGTATGTTCTGGCATTGGTGGATGCATTAATAGAAACATGTTTTATATTTCAGCTGTCATTCTGCCGCTCCAACGTCATCAATCACTTCTACTGTGATGTGCCCCCAATGCTAGCGCTCTCCTCTTCTGACATCCGCACGAGTGAGACTGTGATTCTGACCTTAGTTGGCTTCATTGTAGTGAGCAGTGTGGTGATTGTCCTCCTCTCCTATGTCTACATCATCTCCAGCATCCTGCGGATCCGCTCCGCCGAGGGCCGGCGCAAAGCCTTCTCCACCTGCGCTTGTCACTTGATTGCGGTGGGCATGTTTCATGGCAGCCAACTCTTCATGTATGTACGACCCACCTCCAGCTATTCCATGGACACCGACAAAATCGCCTCTGTGTTTTACTCGCTGGTGATCCCCATGCTGAACCCCCTCATCTACAGCTTCAGGAACAAGGAGGTGAAGGGCGCCCTGAGGAAAGCCATGAACAAACTCCTGACCAAATCTGGATAACTCCATTTAGACTTAGTGATGGGGAGTGGAAATGTGTGAATTCAATTTCCAGCCTATTGTAATTTAATTTCCAGTAGCCATGCGAATATTGTTCTTTGTTATATTGCATAATTGATTTATTGGTATCCAAACAAGGCCTGCAGTCCTCAGTTGAAAAGTGCTTCTTTCATAAAGCTGTTTCTCCTTCAAAGTTTAAGGATGCTCCTGTTTTGTGTGTGTGAGCCCAGTAATATATGTGATGTGCTTCGAGAGCATGGAGATGTTGGGATTGAAGAGTGGGGCTTCTAATCTATCTCCCTCTCTCTGTAGCAGGGTAGGTTTTGTTCTGCAGTTGTGTGTCTGAAGTGTGTGATGTCTAAGACTCAGTGAAAGGGAGTTTTGCACTCTCCTGCTACGCTGCAGCCCTTTGTGTGTTCTGGGGAGTTCTTGAAGAGTTTCTCCCCTGGCTTGTGTCCAGGAATCGGAAAGAGAAATGTGATTTCCCTCAAAATGACTTTTAATGTCTGAAGGGTACAACACAACACAGACCAGCAAAGAACTTTGTGAGTGTGCATCTTCTGTGACAGTCTACGCCGAACTGAATAGACGCTAATATGGAAAGGGTGAGCTTTTTCTGCCATATAAATTAAACAGACAGCAACATCTTCTCAGACTCTTCCTATTGATATGACAAACCACAGGTTCACTATAAGTTAGTTCTGCCAGAAATTTGTATAGACTCTGAGGAGCAGGGACTCTGGGAATTGTACGGCCGAGGAGATTGGGAGTGGGAAATGGAGAGAGCTCTAAAACTGCGCTTTGAGTAGACAGGTGGTGATAAAAATTGAAAAAAATAAATTCATTTCCATCCGATCCAAATATGAAAATTCCCAATGTGTTTGGCAAATTGAAAGCATTGTCGGAAATCTCCTGTGAGGTGGAAGAGAAGCGTGCCAAGCGATCCTTCCCTTCCCAGGTTGTTTTCAATGGAAAAGCAAAACCAATGAAAATAGATTGGTAAAATGGATGAGAGTGAAACAGGTATAGTCCCTGGCAGACTTTAATCCAATGATTCGAGCAATCCCGTGGGATATGGGAGACACGTATCAGACCCCCTTTGTCTGAGGGCGAGAAGCAATTTGAAATTGGCTCTCCCCCAATGATGGGCAGTGACCTGGTGACCGGGCTATGTTGTGTGATAAATATTCCTGAGGACTGGTCAATGCTTATCCGGTCAGGCCATATGCTACTTAAGTCACTGTACCTTTCATCTGGCTTATAGCTGTGCTCTTCCTGCGCTGCATGGATGGGAGAGTTATGCAGTATGGAGTCTTCCAATTTCAAGGGTTCTGGCTGAAAGTCAACTAGCCAGTAAGACTGGTGGTGGTGGAGAGATATCTTTGCATTGAATTAATTTACCTCATTAAGTTAGGCATTAGCTGCTATTTACCCTCTATTTCTCATGACTTAAGATCCTTCCTTCTGAAATCAATAAAATTGTCGTGTGGCTTTCTCTAAGCCAGCGTGTCTGCGAAGATGTATTTGAAAACAGGATTTTTGCCTCTTATTTTCTATTGATTAATGACCCAATTTATATGCGTGGTTATTGTTTAAGGGGGTGCTGGACAGGACAAATCAGACATTCCATGCTGTATCTCTAGGCCTTGTGACCTACAGGTTTGTGCTCTGTGCTGTCAGGATGAAAAACAGCAGAGGATCCCCTTGTTCATAGGGCTGCCAGAGACGGAACCCAGCGCTTTAGGTGTGAACTCTTTGCATAGCCGCGGTGCTGAGGCCAAAGCCCCAAACTGGGATTAATCCAGGTAAAAAGAAAAAGAAAGCGAGCAGAACAGTTTATAGAATTGCTGTAGAACTCAGTGTGTGAAATAGTTCCAGTAGCCCATAGCCTTCGTAATCTACAGCTCTCAGAGCACTTTTCAGAGGAGTGTTCATTTCCTCTCATCCATTTGAATAACAGAGTATCTAAGATGTGAGAGGTTTGAAAGGGCGACCAGAATTGCAAATCAAGCCCGGGATTTAAATATCCCGTGCTGGATTTGCATGTTCCCGGCCGGTCGCCATTTTAGAAATTGACTAGCCCGAAGTAACTGCCCACATCTGCACGTGGCAGTGAAACAGGATTCTGATTTAAAGCCACTAATTTGAATTAGCTGGTAAACCTCATTGCAGAAGGAATACCAGCTAATTCGAGTTAGGGAATCCCATTTCACTGCCGCATGTAGACGCAGGCAATTACTTCAGGCTAGTCAATTTCTAAAATGGCAACCGGCAAGGAACATGCAAATCAAGCACGGGATAATTAAATCCTGGGCTTGATTTGCAATTCCGGTTGCCCTCGTTAGCCTCCCTAGATCAATCTAGCGTGCTAGTGTAGACGTACCCTGAAAGAGAAGAGCCCAAATCATACTTTCAAGGGTCCAGTTCACATTAAATAGGCCTCAGGGGAGATCCAGCCCTCTAGTTCCACAAGGAAAAACAAGGCAACAACATTTATTGCAAGGACTCTGCACAGCTCCTCTCTAGGGAGCAAACCTGTAAGACTCCAAGCCAACGTTAAGACCTCGTATCCCAGGAAGCTGTTCTTGAGGCATTCACGGAGACATGGGCATGATTAGCAAACAGGGAAATGTCCTGCAAGAAAAAATAAAGGGTCACACATCAGGCATCAGAAATAGTAATACACACAAACCTGGAGGACATTTTCACTTAACCTGCCTGGCCATTCCATATTGCATTTAAGAGAAGCCCTTCTTCTACAAAGAGGTTTCACCACCCAATGACAGAGAGAGAGTGCAGGACTGGAGTTCATTGGCATGTGTGACACTGTCATCCTGGGCTTGAATAACGGTATTAACTGCATAATGCTCTACAAAGGCAATTTCCTATACCTGTGACATTCACATTTCACATCTTCAGAGTGGTAGCCAAGTTAGTCTGTAACAGGAAAAACTTAAAAAACAACAAATAGTCCAGTAGCACCTTGAAGACTAACAAAACAAGTAGATGTGATCATGATCTTTTGTGGGCACAACCCACTTCTTCAGATGACTGGAGTATTAAAAGTCCAGATCCAAGAATAAATAAAGGAAGGGAGCAATATGGGGGGGAGGAGAAAAAGACAGTGGGTATGTCTACACTAGCCCCCTAGTTCGAACTAGGGTGGCTAATGTAGGCATTCGAACTTGCAAATGAAGCCCGGGATTTAAATATCCCGGGCTTCATTTGCATGTTCCCGGGCAGGTGCCATTTTTAAATACCCTTATTTCAAACTGACTGCCCGTGGCTACACGCAGCAGTCAGAAGTTAATCCAAACTAAGTCCTTAGTTCGGATTAAGGAGTAACAGGAGACCCCAGTACTATGTCACTTCCTCACTGACTTGTCCACGACTTCAGCTCACAGCCCAGGAACTCTGAGAATAGCACTCCCCCATCACCATTGCCCTTCAACTAAACAGCTTTCAGGTCCCTCGGCTGCTCCCCTCTGGGCTCAGCCTTCACTCACACTTCAACTTTACCTCAGGGCAAATGTTCATTCCAGCCCAGCAGCCAGCCAGGAGCCCTTCCGCACACATAGCCCCAGTCCCACGGTGTTCAACTTGTTTTTCTCATGACCCAGTTGAAGAAAATTGTTGATGCTGCGACCCAACGTAATTTGACTAGAGTGTGGGCCTCGGGCTGGGGCTGAGGGTGAGACCTTTGGACTGTAGGAGGAGGCTGTGGCTTTAGGGGGTCAGGGTAGGGGGTGATTACCTTGAGTAGCTCCCGGTCATGGGTTGAGTGGGGTTGCCAAGGGAGCTCCCTGGCATTGCAGGCCATGCTGCCCCCAGAAGTAACCAGCAGTGGGTTCCCAGCCAATGGGAGACCAGAGCTAGTGCTTGAGACGGGACAGTGAACGGATTCCCGTGCCCTCTTCCCTGCCACCAGCTGCTTCTGAGGCGCAGCACAGTCTGTGGTGCCAGGATGGTCAGGGAGATGCCTGCTCCCCCTCCCCATTCACCGATCCCCCTGTAGCAAAAAGACCCTGAGCCTAACACTTCATCACCCATTCCTGTGCCAGGACCTATAGTTTGAAAGCCACTGGCCTAGTCCCGGCCAGCACAGAGCTGTCCATGGTGCTAAATGTCAATTTATCCAGTGAGGAGATCAATGGAGCTACACACATTGGCTACGTCTACACTGGCCCCTTTTCCGGAAGGGGCATGTAAATTTCACCAGTCGTCGTAGGGAAATCCGCGGGGGATTTAAATATCCCCCGCGGCATTTAAATAAAAAACATATAGGGCTCGTCTACACTGGCCCCTTTTCCGGAAGGGGCATGTTAATTTCACCTATCGTAGTAGGGAAATCCGCGGGGGATTTAAATATCCCCCGCGGCCTTTAAATAAAAATGTCCGCCGCTTTTTTCCGGCTTTTAAAAAAGCCGGAAAAGAGCGTCTACACTGGCCCCGATCCTCCGGAAAAAGTGCCCTTTTCCGGAGGGTCTTATTCCTACTTCGAATAAGAATAAGACCCTCCGGAAAAGGGCGCTTTTTCCGGAGGATCGGGGCCAGTCTAGACGCTCTTTTCCGGCTTTTTTAAAAGCCGGAAAAAAGCGGCGGACATTTTTATTTAAATGCCGCGGGGGATATTTAAATCCCCCGCGGATTTCCCTACGACGACTGGTGAAATTTACATGCCCCTTCCGGAAAAGGGGCCAGTGTAGACGTAGCCATTTACACCAGTTAGGAATCGGGATTTCAGATTTCCATGCAGCTATGTCCATTTACACCACTTGGAAATTGGCTCATTGACGTCACTTAGACAGATTTTTCTAACGATCCATGACTGCTTGAACTGAACACGGCAGGATAAAATATACCCCTAAATTTACACCCTGTCTCTGTGATAGAAATTGCAGTATTT